GATTGATAAAGTAATTTAAGGAATTGACAAAGTAATTTAGGGAGTTGATAAAGTAATTTAGGGAATTGATAAAGTAATTTAAGGAATTGACAAAGTAATTTAGGGAGTTGATAAAGTAATTTAGGGAATTGATAAAGTAATTTAAGGAATTGGCAAAGTAATTTAAGCAATTGACAAAGTAATTTAGGGGATTGATAAAGTAATTTAAAGAATTGATAAAATAATCATTCAGTAATTTACGAGAATAGCTAAAAGAATATGAAATTTGCCGGTAAAACATGAGATATTTTTTAGTATAAAAATAATCTTCACATTGTAAAGATGTGTGTTTCAACTTCTCCTGTAAATGAATTCGTATTAATAATTAAGTTCATATACCATTTTGGTATATTGTAAAAAAAAAATCTTTGGTTCAATGTTGGCATATTGTAAAGGATCACAGGTCAATGATGGCAAATTGCAAAGAACCACAGGTCATTTTGGGGTTAATCGATTCTAATCTCGCTTAAATTGTTGCAAACAAACTCCCGCTATACAAGGAATAGGGACAAATACAGCGAATCACTTCCATGGGTGGTCATTTTACAAGAGGTCAAGGTCATTCTACAATTCAGTTATTATTCAGTTACTTGTTTAACAGCATATTCCCAAATTATTTACACGCTTCTCCGATCTGGATCAATTCAACAAACTTATTGATCAATTTTCTCTATACTTCTCCGTTTATCAGTAAACTGTCATCAATCAATATTCAACTATTATGTCTATACAAATATTTCTAAAATTTTCATAGCAACATCATCCTAGCTATTAGATTTAAAAATTTGGAGAAAAGAAAAATTCCAGAAATACCAAAACCAAACCGAGAAGTTTATTTATATTTACCGAATAAATAAATGGATGATAAAATTGAAACCAAAAAAAGTTTTGCAATAACAAAGAATTAATCATTTAACCTATTAAGTTCCATTTATAATTATTAAAAAGTATTAATTAAAAGCTTACCATTGATGAGAATGTTTTGTTGACAGTATTGTAAATTTTAGCAATGAAATGACAAGAAAAAAGAATTTTGAGATTGACCGTTAAGATAGCAAAGAGTGAAAGTGTAAAAAGAAAGGGAGAGAGAGAGAAAGAGAAAGAGAAAGAGAGAGGGTAAAGAAGAGGAGAGAGAGAAAGAGAAAGAGAGAGGGTAAAGAAGAGAGAGAGAGAGAGAGAAGCGAGAGAGAGGGAGAGGAAGAAAAAAGAGAGATGATATAATTTAACTGGTTAGGGAAGCAATTGATTAATATTTCAAGCATAGAATGAGTGAAATTGATGAGGCAGACATAGGAAGGAAATGTAAAATTGAATAAAATTTGAGAAGTAGAGAGAAATTGTACTTTTTACTAATTGCAAAATATGGTGTATTAGGCGATGAGTCATCCATAATTATTATCATTTGAAAAGGAGAAAAGAGCAAACAAGTTGAATTTTAAAAAAAAAAAATAAAAAAATTTGCGAAATGATATCTTTGGGATGCATTTAATTACTTTATTAAATTTTTTTTTTTTTTGTGAAGTAATCATCAAAGAGAGTAAGTGAGAAAAGTTACAAAGCAATGAGTAAAGATTACAAAGTAATTAGGGTAAAGGTAGTAAAATAATTAAGTAAAGGTAACAAAGGTAGTTGGAATGAACGTTGCATATAACTGGAAAAGATTATGAAATGTTTGGGATAAAGATAATAAAGTAAATTGGATAAATGATTGTAAATTGAGTAAAAGTTTATAGTTGGATAAAGTTTTGTGGTAAATTTTATCCAATTAATTAATTTAATTTCAAAGAATATACCAATCAAATACTTTACATTACTCCTTTACCATTACATATGCTACACTAGAGTATTGCATTTAATTTAAAATTTAATTTCTGTTTTTCTCTTTTTTTTAGAATGAAATTTTATTATTAAGTTAAGCATTACAAAATTAATAATCTTTATTTGAATGTACAAAAAATACGGAGAAAGCTACTGAAAATAGAAATGGGTTTTAATTTTAAAAGGAACTTTTGGGTCTTAAATATGTATGAAATCAATTGTGTGAAATTTGTCTTTTTTTTTGAGTATAAATAATCTTTATTATAACTTTAACATATTTCTTCAAAATTTCTTAGTGCTAAAATTCTTAACTTTGATTTTTTGTTTTTTGTTTTGTGATTTTTTTTAATGTTATCAAATATCTATTTTCATACATATATCAAGTTTATGCATCAGAAGTTCTTGATTTTTTTTGTTTAAAATTTCCCATAGAATTATTCAATCGGTGAAAATTCTCTTCCTAATAAGTGCTAAAACACCAATTAGAAGGAGAGGAAAAAAAAATCGTCTTCAAATATCTTCCAGAATATACGGCACTTATCCAGAAGTGATCCAAGTGTTTTCATAGCGTCCTGCTTTTTGTTTCATACGACAGTTGTGACATTTGATAACGGATCTGATAAAGTGATTGTAACCGCTGGGGTGAATGTTTTGCGGAGGATAGGGATTATTCGATGGGGTGTAATTTAGTTATATGAGACAATCTGATTAGACGTGGTAATATTGGTCAGATGTGACAGAGAAACGTTGATGTTTTTCGGAAAGAATTATATTTTTGGGTTAATGGGAAACGATTTAGGAAGTTATGGGAATAGTTTAATAATTTGAGATGATATGGCATTCGTTGGGATGTCTAAATTATTGATATGATTGATTCAAAGTGCAGAATGAGGCCTTTTTTCTAGCTAGTGAAGGAATATTGAAGTGGAAACATGTCAGCTGCGGATGGTGGTGCAGCTGCACTACTTATCGCAGGACTTGGTACTGGTGGTACCGATGTGATGTATGAGGATGACCTAACGGATAATAGTATTCCGGATATACAGGTACATTATATTTCAATGTTTGATGAAACGCAGGTCGCCAAGTTACGTATGTTTGTCAGTGGAGAGAAAGAAGGAATAGCCTGATAGGGTTACGTAAGTAGACATTTGTCAGCCGATTTACGTTTGCTTGTGGGAAATGGTATATTTGTACATGATTCAAAAGTGTTTAATTTACGTAATGTCAGCTAGATCAGGTGTTCAGTTTTTTTAGAAGTAAATTTTCATTTCGTCGGACAGAATTCAGTTTATTCGTTTTTTACTGTACATTTTCTTTCTTTGATCTAATCTCTGTTATATATAACAGTGTCTTCTATATATAACGTCAATTTGTCCTGTAATTCTTCATTATATTTTGCAGAAAATAACGAAAAAGAACAACATTTTGCCATTGTGGGGCAATACGCAGACGATGAATTTAAATGCTTTAGTGTTGGAGAATATTATTCAGTGCACATATTACAAAAATTATCTTTCGGAAACTACAGGATTTCAGCAGCTTACAGAAGAAATCTATTATAGCGTAAGTTGTACTTTATCTTAGTTTACTTTGAATTGAGGTGTTAGCTTCTTTCCTGCATTTCGAACTATTGATGACTGTAGTTTTGAATATGGTTTCTTCATAATTTTCATAATTTTCATTGAACTTTCGTGGGAATGAAAGCTTTTCAGCTCAGTAACTTCATTTCAGGTGAAACATCTGGAACCATGGGAGCGTGGTACACGGAAAACACAAGGAATGACCGGCATGTGCGGCGGGGTCAGTCGCTTACGTGGTATTCGTTCTTTTTCTGGTATTCTGCACTTTCATTAACTGAAAATTTAATGAATTATGATAGGCCTAATCATTTTGTGTATGCAAGTTAACCTCTAGGTACGAGGTGTTGGTGCTGGTGGAGTGGTGAGTACGGCATTCTGTCTTCTTTATAAGCTCTTTACGATCCGACTCTCCAGGTATGGATTTAACAGTGAGTTACGATTCACTTTTATTTTTGTTATAGGTTAATGCAAGTATTCCATTTTTTTCAGTGGATTTTCATCTCTGATGCCACCAACTGTTTTATGGTATATTTTAAGGTGTTAAGTTTCACTTCACTTTTAGTGTTTGCTCGTTGTGTTTTAAATACATACAGTGGTATTTTATATTCGTGTTTATGGGCAAACAAAAAGTTTGCCACTTAAAATTGTCTCACTGAAGTATTATTAATTGTATGTTTATAATTGTCGTTGTCAAATAGTAACTCGTATTTTTTCAGCATCGTGTACTGTTGCTAAACATTTCAAAGGTTGCTTGATTCATCGCAGAATTTCAGGAAACAACTGGTTAGTATGATTAATAACAGCGACTCACCATATATACGAGGTATCGGTTTCATGTACATCCGATTTTGTCAACCACCACAAGACTTATGGGCTTGGATGGAACCTTATTTGGTAAGTGTTAGTAACTGATTTGCACTAAAATATTCATTCTGTAATTAAAGAGCTTTCCTTGCATTTGTTTCAGTTGATGTTTACTTTCTTGACTTTTGGCTTCCTTTGGTACTCTGTATCATGCTACGAAAGCACTATACAGAGATACTTTGGTCAAAAAAAGTGGTTTTACTGATAATAATTCTATCACTTTTTAGGATGATGAGGAACAAATTGATCCGCGTTCTGGTGGTGGTGATGTGATGGCAATGGCACAAGTTGTAAAGATGATGTTAACTAAACTGGACTGGTATGGTACGCTGTTTCCGCGAATCCCTGTCCCAATTCAGGTATAAATTAAATTAGTAATGATGAATTTCCTATGTTGAATCTCTATGGAGTATATCATCTGACTACTGTAAGAACTGAAGGCAAGATGACGATGTTTTAGGAGCGTGAAAAATCTGCAATGTAAGGCTTTGCATGGAAAATACATTGAGAGGCGGAGTGCTTCATGTTACAACACTGAGGTTAACCTGTTATTAACACAGATTAACACGACTGTAGAATTTAGTAGTTTGGTCATATCCAATTTTTTATGAAAGACATGATAAAAGTTTCCGAGAACTTTGCCGGACTATATGAAGTAAAGTCTTTGAAAATGTGGAATTACAGAAGGAAATTGAACTGAAATTTCGAGAAAAAGCGAAATTGGATTACCAACGAGAACATGGGTAGCTTTTTATTTATTATTTCTTCTTTTCTCTTAATTACACTGTTTAATTGCCATATCTTTCTGTATTTAGTGAGAGAACTTTTAAGTGGTTACACTTTGTTACTTTCCAGAATAAATTTTGGTTTTACTTTGAGTAGATTGGATTTACTTTTTATTTTCCAATACAGAGATCGAGAGGGTGATCATGATAGACACCGAAGTAGAAGCAGATCGAGAGATCGATTGCGAGAGAGGTCGAAAGACCGGGACAGAGAAAGGGATCGAGAGAGATCTCGTGAACGTGACAGAGAGAGAGACAGGGATAGAACCAGTGGACGATCTCGAGAAAACGACCGAGCCCGGGAAAGGAGGCGGGATTCCAGGTCAGTAAATTTAATCATTCATTATTATATTGATAGCGTGAACATCTTAAAATAACAGCACTGTCGATATAGTGGAAATTTTTTCTGTTTTTGAACACGTGACCAAGCATGAGTTGATTAGGTAATCCAATCTTCTTCGAATTAGATTTCTTGAATAAAATCATTGTGAATCATAGAATAAAACTATCGTTAAAAAATGTTACCGTGGCAGATTCGAACTGCTGTACGCATCAGATGTGATTGTCTGCTACCAAGAGTTTACATAATTTGCTATAATTGTGTATGAGTAACTTCATTAATAAAGTACAATAACGATTGCATTCCTTCGCATAACATAGTTGCATAAAGAGTAATGCCACAGAACTCGATATTATGATTATTAGAAAAAACGTGCTTTATTTATCGTAGGGGCAGGTCGAGAGAAAAATCTAGCACAAGGTCTAGTCACATTAGTGACAAGAAGCGGAAGCATGGTGGTCATCGATACAAGTGTAAACATCATTTGCGGCACCACCATTGTCGGAAACATAAGGAACGTTGTCCAACAAAGGCCAAAAAGTGAGGGCATTTTAAACCGATGATTTAATGAGGAATCCTTATGTATCTTTTTTCATCTGTATAAAAAATGTTTTATTGAGGTAGGATTTCAGTTTAGGAAGGGAGCAGCTGCTTGTCTGACAGGATGGTTGTCATCATTTTTGATTATTCATTGTTGAGTTTTTCACTTTTACTTGATTCATAAAGCATGAACAGGATTGTAAGGATATATCTTGAAAGCCTGTCTAATTTTCACCTTTTTCTTTACAGTATGCAAGCAAGTTTTTTTTTCATTTTGACATATATATATATATATATATATATATATATATATATATATATATATATATATATATATATATATATATATATATATATATATATATATATA